TTAAAATACTTTTGCTGGGTATGAAAACAAATGCATGGAATTTGATGCATGTACATAGGTAGGCATAGAACTAGGTACAGACGCTCATGGATATGTGTACATGCACATATGAATATGTTTGCATGTATACCCATGTATCCACTTCCCAGCTCTGTCTTTTGAGAGGATCTAGAAACAATGTTACCCTAGTAACAATAAATACCCTTGTGCCCAGATCTTGATTTCTACATAGCCATTCTCTGCTAGAAGGAACCCAGGTCTCCTTGGGAAAATGGCTGACTCCAAGGCTTGGACAGAAAATATACAAAATGAGTCTGGCGTATCTTGTGTTGAAAAGTAACCTCTAACTACTCAAAGAATAGTGACAGCATGTCAAAAGGACACAAGAACCAATTTAAAAGGCTCCCACTAACCAAATCTAAGGCAACCTAAACGTCGTGGTAAGTTAGTATGATAAGTATGGATACCCTCTGAGAGATTTGAGGGCAGGGACAGTCTTAGAAGACAGTAGAAAACAGTGTCCTGAGTGTCGCCCCTAGACTGAGCATTGTGTTAATATCCTACAAATGGAACACATGTGTCCCCAGGTCCCATACCTGGAATGTCAAAATAGTATTTCATTAACAGTGTCAAGTAAAGGATTATAACCTATTATAAAAACTAGAGACCCAGGCTGGGCATGGTGGCTCATACCTGTAAATTCCAGCACTTTGGGAGGCTGAGGTGGGAGGACTGTTTGAGCCCAGGAGCTTGAGATGAGCCTGGACAACATAGAGAGACCCTGCCACTACAAAAATAAATGAAAAAATACCTTGGCATGGTGGCATATGCCTGTGGTCCCAGCTACTTGGAAGGCTGAGTGGGAGGATTGCTTGGGCCCTAGAGTCCAGGTCACAGTGATCTGTGATCATGCCACTGCACTCCAGCCTGGACAACACGGTGAGACCCTGTCTCAAAAACAAGCAAAACTAGAAACCCAAGGTTCTATGCTGATGTAAATATATAAACGAATATTCTTCCTTACAGTGGAAAACCAACAATAAATTTAGAAAGATGGTAAATTTTTTTTAAAAAGCACTGTTTGACAATCACAGTAATAACTGGTTCAGGTAAGGGTCACTAATAAATGCTAAAAACAATGGGTACAAATTTGAGAAATAATAGGATATTTTCATAGTCTCAAACTACTTCTCCAAAGGAAATACTTACTAATTAGAAGGAGTAAAAACAGTAGACAGCACCATAACCCCATGAGCAAAGTTAACCTTGCCAGTGATGGAACTAATTGACAGCACCTGCCCCCCACGTGATGCGCTGGAGGAGCTCAGCATGGCATCTCTGATATTCCTGCCCAGAGTGCATGACAGAATCTAATCACAGAAAAGCACCCAAGAACCCGAGCTGAAGGACAATTCTACCAGGTAACTGGCCAGGTAATCTTCACAACGGTCAGTGTCATGAAAGACAAAGCGGCAGAAACTTTCAAATTACAGGAGGCAGCTAAATGCAACATATGGTCTTGGATTGTTTTGTTATAAAGGAAATGATCATGAAGTCTGAATAAAGTCTGTGGATTAGATGAAAGAATTGGTGTACCCATTACTCAGATAAGGAAGCTGGAACTCAGAAAGCTGCCCAGATTCAAATGACTAATAAATTGTAGAGCCAAAATTCGACCTCAGGGAGGTGGAGCCTCCAATTCCAGGCAGGTGGCCTTGTGGACAGGTAGCTGGGACCTGGAGTGTGTCCACCCAGTCACAGCCTCTCAAGTGCTGCAACGAGAGTGTTTGGGGCTGGATAATTCCCTGTGCACTACGGGCTGTTTAACAACATCTTTGGCCTCTACTTACAAGATGGCAGGAGCACCTGACACCCAGTCATGACAACTAAAATGGTCTCCAGACATTGCCAAATATCTGAAGCATGCAGGGTGCAAAACTCCCTCTGTTGAGAACCGCTGACCTCGAGGTGAACCCTGGTTCCACTCCTTACTTGTCACATGACCTTGGACAAACAACTCTTCAAGTTCCTCTGTGCCCGGTGCCCTCATCTGTAAAACGGGAAGACAATAACATGTGAGGTTAATGTGAAGAATAAATAATGATCTGGGAAAGCACTTGGCCCGTCATGTAAGAGCTACTTTGCCCATAACCCCAGGGTGCCTTCCCTCCAAACACGAAGCTTATTCACAGAGCAGGTACACAGTGAAGAGCTGCTGTCGTGTAGTGGTGGGGATGAGTCAGTTAACCGTTTCAGTAATAAATGAACAAAACCTGATGTTCTGATCTGTGCACTAGTGCATTTGCTGACTGAAGAAGTTCTGGCATCCTCTCTCACCATCAAAGAGCAGTTAGGATTAAAGACTCGGCCGGGCGCGGTGGCTCACGCCTGTAATCCCAGCACTTTGGGAAGCCAAGGCGGGTGGATCATGAGGTCAAGAGATAGAGACCATCCTGGTCAACATGGTGAAACCCCATCTCTACTAAAAATACAAAAAATTAGCTGGGCATGGTGGCACGTGCCTGTAATCCCAGCTACTCAGGAGGCTGAGGCAGGAGAATTGCCTGAATCCAGGAGGCGGAGGTTGCCGTGAGCTGAGATGGCGCCATTGCACTCCAGCCTGGGTAACAAGAGTGAAACTCCGTCTCAAAAAAAAAAAAAAAAAAAAAAGACTCTGTGGCCAGGCTACCTGGATTCAAGTTTAGCTGTGCCACTCAGGAGGTGTGTGACCCCAGGCTGGTTATTTAGCCTGACAATGCATTCATTTCCTTATCTATAAAAAATGGAGTAACAAGAGTGCCTACCTCACAGGGCAGCGAGAGTCAGATGAATTAATACACTTGTTGTACCCAGCAGGACTGGGTCTCCATCATGCCTGCTGTGATTGCTGCTATGGCAATTATTAATCCTATCACACTCCTCTTTTGTGGCCCTCCAGCCACACTCCTCCAAGGGTGCCAGGACCAAGCCCATGTCCAAGCCCATGTCCACTCCGTCTGCCTGGATTACTGTCCCTCCCAGACATTAGCAGCGCTCCAACTCTTACCCAATCAAGGTCTCTCTTCATGTGGCTCTTTGGACAGGCCCCCCACCACCCCGACCTCCATAAATAAAACAGCAGCTTCACCACCCTATTCACCCTGGGATTTTTGCAACATAGCAATATCCTCTGCCTGGCATTATCTATCCTGGTCAATACAGCACAGTGCAATGCAGCACAGTGTAGTGGAGCAATCTTTATTGGCTTATCTCTCCACTGACTCACATAAATGTTCCAAGACAGCAGAGAATTTGATTGACAACTACATTCCCAGCATCTAGAACAGCGCCTAGTGAATAGTACATAATTATAATGAATGGTGAATGATATTTTACAGAAGGGAATTCCAAAGTCTTCACATAATTCATTTTCCATAACACAGGACTTATCTAAACTGGAGCCTACAACAGTGTTTTTCACAAAAGATTTTACTTATAACAACCCATGCTTTAGAATAGAATATTGTAAAGACTTCCAGATCAGTTAGATTTGAGTCTCTCAAACCATGGCTGTGGACTCCAGAGAGACAGTAATAGGAATTCCACCAAACAAGGTTCACAAGGTGAACAGCAATGGGAGATAATACAGAATCTTGCCCCACTGGAGGGTGCATCATGCACAGAAGCTCTAAGAAGTCCTGTTGAGAAGACAGATATTGAACCTGGGTTTGCTGAACTTATTTCACCAGAGACCCCATCCATTAACATCTGCATCACAAAGCACAATTTGGTAAACAGTGATCTAGCATAAGTCTTTCCATTTACAGACACAGACAGAAAATGAGTCCCAGAAAGGTTAATTGACTCACTCAAGGTCACATGGCAGTCTCCTGAATCCTAGAGCAGGGTGCTTTTCACTGCTCCCAATGTTACCTAATGGTTTGCTTAGCTATCCATTCACCAGAGGTCAGAAACTGAACACAGACCTCAGGTTCCAGTATCATTTTGACTAAATTACATATAAAAATTGATGTACTGGATAGGATTTGCTTTCAGCCTCACTGTTTCAGAAATAGTCATTCATTCAACAAATATTTATTAAATGTTATATGCCAGGAACTGCACATTTTGCAGTGATCAAGATATGGTTGCCCAGAAGACTGACAGTGAAATTATCCTTAAAGAGATCAAAATTGATTAAACTGTCCTTGATAAAACTGCTTCAAAGCAGGGACTTGTAAGAAATTACATATTCACATTTCATTTGCTTCCGTTAACGGCGCTCATATTTAGATCTGATGTTAATAACATGCTCTCAACCGGTGTGGGTCTGGAATAAAACACTCCCCTTGACTGTGACTGTGCACACGGCAGAGAGGAAAAACAAAATGATTGGAGTTAGTTGGGCTCTTCTATTGAGCACCTAGACCTACAGATTTTCCAATTTCAAGTTCATTCACATTTCATCTCTGGCTTCTACATTTTAGTTAAAAAGCATTCCCCTATTTGCTATTGTCCACTGAGGAAAATGCCTACTTAAAAAACAGGATTTCTTTTTTTAAAGCATCTTGATTCACACATTTCAAAGCTCTCCAGAAAACACGATTTCTCAAAAGCCATGTCATTCTAAAACATGCTACAGATTTCACATGGAGAAAGAGCGAAATATTATTCTACACAATCTTTTCAACAAACTGATGGCATCTGTCTAGGAATCAGGAGAGTTGTCTTATTTCAACAACAACAAAAAAAATTCCAAATGAGAAAAAAAGAAATCTAGGCTTGAGAAGATCTAATGCCTTGCCACTGAAGCCATGTTTGGGCACAGACCCCACCTGTGTATAAGTAATAAAAAGAAACCTGAGAAAACAGAAGCTGCCCAAGGTCCTTTGCCTTGTGTGTATCTTTAAGGCCAAACTGTACCCAGCAAACATCTTTGCATTTTAAGGATGCACTCATGGTTTCTTCAGAAGCCCTTCTGAAACACAAGGTAGCAAAGCAAACATAGTCACCCCATCATGCAAATAATTTGTGTTTATTAGACACCAGAATAAATGAGTGAGAATTCCTCGGCTGTTATATAGAGACACCCACCAGCACAGAGGGAAGAAATGACATAGCACAGAGCCACGGCAAGCCAGACCCAGGAAAGCTATGCTCCCACCACATCCTTGCACACACACCCAACCTGCTGTTTAAAAATCAATTTAAACACTAACAATGACTGAAGAAGCCATTTGTTTAAAAAGGGAGGGGAGAGCATATTTTTTAAGGACCAAGTATCACTTTTTTTTTTTAAGGAGCCAGCACCATACTCTCTTCTCTAATAGGATCACCTCTGGCAGGCTAAGTACATTTGACTGAGTTTATTGCAACTGCTTCTGCCAATTCTTTGAACTACCAATCAATGGGGTGAGGTTTCTAAGCACAGGAGCTACTACTCAGAAACACATGATAAACTGGGCAGCGCTGGAAAGGCATGTATTTGCGTGTGTGTGCATGCTTGCCGATGTCACTGCAGTTATGCAGATCCAGGAGGGAGTTTCTTAATGCCGTTTAATGGAATCCATTTGGGGTAAAAGGTATTATTTTGCCTAAAGAAATCTCTCCCTCGCAGTCCAGCTCCCAGACAGACTCTGCCACAGGGTCACCATCTGGGGACGTCTGATAGATCCGGGACATGCGATCGAAAGGGCCCTCCTCCTCGTCATCGTTCACCGCGTTGGGCATCATGTGGATATAGGCAGCTGTGATTTCCTTCTGGAAGACGGTGTCCTGGTTGTAGGAGATGAGCTCATTGCTGATGTTCACTGTCTCCACCGGCGTGCGGGAGCAGAGGTGACTGCACCCCAGCAGCTGGGCAAACACCTTCCGGAAGTCGGCGTTGAAGGCGTAGATGATGGGGTTGAGTGAGGAGTTGGCCCAGCCAAACCAGACGAAGACGTCGAAGGTGGTCTCACTGACGCAGGGGAAGCCAGCCGGGGGGCCTTCGGGGCGTCCACTGCAGAAAGGGACCATGCAGTTAAGGATGAAGAAGGGCAGCCAGCAGCACACGAAGACCCCCATGATCACCGACAGGGTCTTGAGCACCTTGGTCTCCTTCTTGATGGAAGCGCGCAGGCTGGTCTCCGGCGCGCAGGCAGCGCTGCGGCAGCTCTGCGCGTGCTCCGCGGCCCTCTCCAGGGAGGAAATCCTGCGGATCTGCACCTGGGCGATGCGGTAGATGCGCGTGTAGGTCACGATCATGATGGCCACCGGGATGTAGAAGCTGACTAGAGAGGAGGAGATGGCGTAGGTTCGGTTCAAGCTGGAGTCACAGTTCTCTGCCCTCACGTCGGGTTCCCAAACGTCCTCCCAGGGCGTCCCATTAGCCAGGTTGTTCGGCAGGTCCGGCCCGCCCCAAGAGCCCGCCTGGTCCCTGTGCCAGTTGAGCTGGACTGGAATGAAGGAGATGAGGATGGACAAGGTCCAGGCCAGGCCGACCATGACCAGGGCCATGCGCTGGGTCATCTTGCGCTCGTAGCGGAAGGGCCTGGAGATGGCCCAGTAGCGGTCCACGCTGATGACGCACAGGTTCAGGATGGAGGCGGTGGAGCACATGATGTCGAAGGCCACCCAGACGTCGCAGAACGCTCCAAAAGGCCAGTAACCGGCTACCTCGGCCACCGCCTTCCAGGGCATGACCAGCAGCGCCACGAAGAGGTCTGACACGGCCAGAGACACGATGAAGACGTTGGTCATTTTGGCGCGCAGGTGGCGGCTCCGCACGATGGCAGCGCACACCAGCAAGTTGCCCAGCAGGGTCCAGATGATGAGTAGGGTCAGCAGGCCGGCGGTGACCACCTGCGCCGGCCCCAGTGGCGGTGCCCCAGCCGAGCCCCCCAAGGCGTTTCCCTGCGCCAGCTTCTGGTGCATCGCGAACTGCCCCGGGTACGCGGTGCTGTTGCTCCCCGGCGGCAGCATTTCTGGCTGGGCTGCAGGGGCAGTCTGTGAGCCGTCCCAACTTCAGCCCTGCGACCCCCGGGCAGCCCCATCGGGCACCCAGAGGATGCACCCCCTCGGCCAAGGGACCCTCGATCCCCGGGGTGCGCTCACCGTGAGCTGCGCCGGGCCCCGGGGCGCGCGGGGGCTTCTCTCGCCGCCTGAAGCGCCTCTGGCTCGGTGGCCGCGGTGCGCCCCTCCAGTCTCGGCGCTGGGGACAGGAAGCCGCTGGTGCTCGCTGACGGCCAGGGTTGTTCTCGGGAGTTCGCAGCGCACCGGGCGGCAGCGGCAGCAGCTGTGTCGGGTTCCGAGCCAGAGAAGAAGAGAGCGAGCCGCCACTGAGGGGCTGGGGCAGGCAGCCGCGGGCGCCGGGAGCTGCGGCGCTGCTGCGGTCCCAGGCTGCTCCCCTGCCCCGCGTCCCGCCCCCCGCGCCTCCGCGCTCGGCTCTCTGGCGCTCCCGCCCCACCTGTGCCTTGGCGCCGTCGCTCGTCGCCCTCAGAGCTCCAGAGTCTAAGGGCGATCCTGCAGTTCCGAGAGGCGCCCCAGCGCCAGACCCTAGCCTCAGGAGGGGAAAATTCTCCCCGGAAAGACAGAAAGGTGCTTGGAGCAGCCCTGGAGCCGTAGCCCCCGCCACGCTTGGGGAACAAGAGGCGGGGTAGGAAAGAGGACTCGAGGGCTTCCAGAGGGGAAAGAGCTTGTGTAGGGTAAAGGGGGCGGCCTTGGATTGCCCACAGACCTGAGCCCCAATCCGGACTTTATTCTTGGCTCTGCAACTTTGAGGGCCTTTACCTGGCCTTGGTTTCCTTCTCCGCGGTGTGGGATAATGATTCCTATTCCTGCGGCGATGTCAGGGGAAGCCGTCTAGGAAGAGGTGCCCAGTAGAAAGTGTCTCCTAGGAACATGCTCCTGCTTCCCCCAGCCCCTCCCTCAACACCCTGAGATCAGGTTAAGCCTGATCTCTTGGGAGACTGTCCTTTCCCCGCCTCCCCACCGCCCGCAATCCTTGAGCGATCTTTCCATTGGGGAATAATTTGGGATGAACCCAAAAGACCAGAGGAGGAAGAGAGCTCCCCAGAGAGCTGGAAGCCTCTTCTTTCAGGGCACTTTTAAGATGGATGGATAAACAGCTCAGTGTTTAACAAAAAAGGAACTGAGGGCGCCCAAAACCCAAACTGGAAAAAAAAGAATGGTGGAAAACAGTGAAGAGAGAAAACAGTATTCCTGAGCTCTGCGCACACCTCCCAGCTGACAAGTGGCATTTATGAAGCGTTTCTGCCTCTGCTGGTGTTAAGCTCAGCTGAAGGCAGCTGGGAGAGAAAGAGATGTGGCAGCAGCCGGCTGCACAGCTCCGTCTGCCACCGGCTGGCCCAGACACCTGCAGCATGCTGAGGTTTAGAAACACACTGGAATCTCTCCACCATTCCATCTCCTCCTCCACCAAACCCACCTGCACCCTGAACCAACACCTGCAAGTGTCCCAGCTTCTCAGACATAGGCTGCTCAGCCGAAGCAGTCCCTTCCCCCAACCTCCTTCCCTTTTAGTGTTTTCTGCTGCTGGAGAGGGCAAGACTATCTGTCCAGGTGCCTAAACCTGAAACTAAAGAGTCATCCTCACCTCCTGTCTCTCCTCATCTTCTGGGAGCTGGACCACTCCTCTCACCACTGACATCCCTGTCCAGAACTGTGCCTCCTCCACCCTGTTTGATGGTGGCACTCTCCTGGCCTCCAGGCTCTGCCCTGACCCTCTGTCTTCCCGGCAGGCAGTGATCTTTCCTGAATGTGACTATGATCATCTCACTCCCCTGATGAGACACGCTCACTGTGTTTCATGATCACTCCCTGTGGCCCATGTTCCTGGCCAGGCATGCAAAGTCTTTTCTGCATCTTGCCCTAATCTTTGTCTACAGCTCCTGCTTCTTCTCCTGCCATCCCTCCACATACAGCCTAGATTCAAGCTGCCACCACCATTGCCACCGCCAAAAAAGAACACCCATTGTAAATGGTCACGTGATAATTCCTCAATCTGGAATGACCTTCCCCCTATCCTCTCCTCCTGGAGAACACCAACTCACGATGTCAGAAAAGAACTTGGATTTTGGAGACAGGGGTTTGAATTCCAGTCATTCATTCTTCTATTCAGCAAATATTTAACAAGTACTGACTTGTTCGAGATGTTGTTTTACTCACTGGTTATACAATGGGAGGCAGAGAGAGACCCTACTCTAAAAGTTTGAAGCCTAGATAGGCTTTAAGCCAGGAATAATCCAAAGAAATGCACAATTACAAATGTGACAAGGGCTGTGAGGGGAAGTTCACAGCCTTATGGAAGTACACAATTGTTGGGGAGGTTGGCCAAGGCAAGATGTTTAGGGAAGGCTTTCCTGGAGAAGTTTCTCTTTGGGTTGAATCACAGTTAAGTAGGCAAAGAGGAAGCCAGAGGGAAGGGAAGTATGGCAGACAGGAAGAATAGGCACTTCACCAGCTTTGGGATCTTGGGCAGGTCGCTTGATCTCTGTGAGCTTCAGTTTCCTCCTCTGGGAAATGGATTAATATAGTCATTTAAAAAGTGTGATGAGACCAAAATAATTAATGCATGTGTTCAGAACTAAACATTTTTCTTCCTCTACTGTAACTGTGCAGTTTCTTGACCTGGGCTGCCCTCCAGAAAGGATTCCATTCTGGCTTTTGTGGTAGTCAGAGAATGGATGCGTGATTAGATCTGAAAAGCTGGAGGAGTAAGGAATGGTCCCAAAAGGAAGAGACTGTGTTTGTATTCACAATAAAGAGCAGAGAAGTAGGGAGAGGGCCTGAAAGCTGGGGGTGGAGTTTTGCAGGGAAGATTGCGTGAAAGAGATGAGGGAACTGGAATCTGGGGGAAAGTAGATAGGAGATTAAAAGGGAATTCTAGAGAACGATCCCTACTGATTTCACAGAACTTAAGAAATGAAAGTAAAGGTCCAGTTATGGTGGCTCACACCTATAATGCCAGCACTTTCAGAGGCTGAAGCAGGTGGATCACTTGAGATCAGGAGTTCAAGACTAGCCTGGCCAACATGGTGAAACCCTGTCTCTACTAAAAATGCAAAAATTAGCCAGGCATGGTGGCATGTGCCTGTAGTCGCAGCTACTCAGGTGACTGAGGCAGCAGAATCGCTCAAACCCAGGAGTCGAGGGTTGCAGTGAGCCAAGATTACATCACTGCACTCCAGTCTGCTGGGCAGGAAAGCAAGACTCTGGAATTTAAAAAAAAAAAAAAAAAAAAAAAAAAAAGGAAGGAAAGAAGGAAGGGAGGGAGGAAGGAAGGAAGGAAGGAAATAGAAATTCAAGTAAAGAATTTGAGTTTGAAAATTGCCTTTTGTCTACCAAACTTGAGCCTGAAAGACTGGACAACACGGATCTCTATAAATTGTGCAAAGCACTCAATGTTAGAACCTCTCCATCCTTTAAGAGCCAGCTCAATCACTTCTCCAGAAAGACTTACTGAGTCCTCTGCACTGAGCAGGTGTCCTGTGCTCTAGGAGAGCACTGGGTTGGCTCCTAGTGCAGCTGTTATGACCCTAGACTGCACCATCCTTCACATCACCGTCCGGCCTCCAGAATCCCAGCTTCTTAAATCAAGAAATTGTGTCTTGTTCATGGCTGAATCCCCCAAATGAACACAGTGAGTGAGTGCTTGACAAACTTTGCTGGTAATGAATGAAAAAGGGGATTTTGTACCCAATACCATGTAATCAATGCACAGAAGATTCAATCAACCAAGAAAGGTACACAAACACTGGCCACACACATTGACATTTGTTTTCAGATATTCCACTCCAGTCCCCCTGACTTCCACCAATCCATTCATTCATTTCACAAGCATTTCTGATGGGGTGGAGGCAGGGCCATACAGGGTATGTAAGTCACCATCGGGTGGGTTTGTATAATGAATATAAAAAACTTCCAGCAGAGCATGGTAAAGTATACCAAGAAAGGGCTCTTCAGCATCGCACAACTGCACTCCAGCTTGGGTGACAGAGGGAGACTCCATCTCAAATTTAAAAAAAAAAAAAGTGGGGGTGGGGGTGCTCTCTTTTTCTAATTAGCACAAGATTGTTCTACTTCGGGTTCTGCTGCAACCATCTCTCAGACCCTATTCCTTGTCTTTCTTGGGCTTATATTATTGAGGAGAGAGAGAAATAAACAATTTCAAAATACTGTCATATAATGCCAAGTCCTATAAAGAAAATCGAACAGAATAATGAAAGAGACAGTAGCAAGACTAGAGGGAAAAGCTGCTTTAGAAAGAGTTGCCAAGGAAGCTTCTTTGCAATCAGAAAGGTGACAAGGATTTAGTCAGGCAAATATCAGGGGTAAATCATTCTTGGAGGAAAGAAAGCCCAGGCAAAGGCCCTGGGGCAGATTGAGCTTATTTGATAAACAGGTAAAAAGGTCAGGATGTCTGTAGCAATAGTAGCCAAGGGAGGGAGAGGTATGAGACAGAGGAGGTGAGCCCTGTTGCCATGGTGAGACCATGAGGATTTATTCTAAGTTCCGGATACCTGGAGTTCAAGTCCCCTGAACTGGATGATAACTACAAGCCCTCATATCTCAATGCTACAGTCTTTAAGTCCCTGTTATAAGAGCTTGGAATCTTCAGAGATGACAGGAAACACCAGAACGCTATGGCAGAGCATATCTAGGGGCCTTCTCCCAGCTCAGACCCTTTGACTGTAAAAAGACACAGGTTTCAAGGCTGAGATTCACAAAACTCTAGCAAAGGCAGCACAAACACCGACCAATGACAGCAGGTGCTGCCTGTCACCCTGGAGCAGCAGACAGGTTCCAGAGCACCCTTGCTGTGCCGGCCTCTAATTGTTGATTATAGGAAGGCCTGGGGTAGTACCCAAAGCTGGGATGTCCAAAGTAGCTGGGACCAGTCAGGAGGCTCAGGGCAGTGGGAGGAAAATGTTTTCCTCCCTGGTAGAGCCACAGTGGGGTATCCAGGCTGGATATCCGTGGTGAGGAGGCCCATGGCACAGCGCCAAGACCTCGGGAACAAACCCCATTGGAGCTGAATCCAGAAAAACAACCTTTTTCTAATTCACTCTCCCCTACCCTCGTGTAATCATTATACTTTCGGGTGTACCTGGACTACTCTGAAACATTCAAAACATTCTTCATCACCTCCCCAACATGTGCATCAGTCTTTGCTTCCTTTTTACTTGCTTTCACTTGCCCCTTGTGGAAGAGATGGCTCCCAGCAGATCCCTCCCTACATTTGCTGGGTTCCCTTACTGTCAGGTGGAGGTTGGGAGCCAGATTCTGGCAAATAGAATATGGGCAGAAGTGATGTGAACCACAGATCTGAGCCTTAGAAACATCCCACAGGTCCTGAGCTTTTCCTCCAGCTGCTACAGTGGGCTTGGAAGCCACGTGTGTTCTAGAAGTATAGCTACAGATGGAGAAGGCCCATGTGTTAGCTAGTCTCCAAAGATGGTGC